CCACCCCCACCTGCAGCCGGCTGTGCACCAGCTCGGACATCTTGGCCAGGATCTCGGAGGCTGGGGGCGCGGCGGGGAACTGTGGCAGGAAGAGCGCGCCGGGGCCAGGGCTGGAGCCGGGCGTGGGGCTGGGCGGCTCAGCCTTGACCCGCGCGGGCGCGGAGCTGGGTGGTGAGGGCGTCCGGGAGGTAGGGGCTGGGGGCCCTAGCTCCACCTCCTGATCCTCCGGCGCCTCCACCTTGATGCTCCTGGGAGCCACTGGGGGCTCGCTGCTGCCCCCATTCTGGGAGGCTGTGCCGGCCTCTCCATTGGTGGCCTCGGCCAGGGCTTTCCTGTCCAGTCCTGGTGATGGGGCGGACCCCAGGCCCAGGTCAGAGGAAGCCAGGGGGCCGTGCAGGGCAGTGTGCTGCTGGAAGCCGGCCAGACTGTCTGCAGGGAGACCCCAAGGGCCACACTTCAGGGCTGGAGCAGGACCTGCCTGGGCCAGACCTAAGAAGGGGGCAGGGCAGGAAGGGAGAGCTGGGCTGGGCAGAGGTGGTGGAGGGCCAAGGCCGAATTGACCCCCTTGCTGTCTCATGGACCAGCCCCTTCCCCAGCCCTCAGAGGGGGGCCCTGGGGCTCACCTGGGGGGAGCTTGGCTGAGGGGTGCCCGACCCCTGGCGAGTAGATCTCAGCCTTAGAGCCCGGCTGGCAGACCATGTGGTTGGTCACCAGGTGGCTGTAGAGGATGTCCCTTGTGGTGGAGATGAAGCCACAGCTGTGGCAGACACCTGCAGATGGTCTGTGGTGTCAGGGCCCTGGAGCCAGTGGGCTCCACAGACACCCTCCCTTCTGCCCCTGCCCCCTTCCCAGCCTGCTTACCGCTCTGTGTGTCTGTGTGCACCTTGAGGTGCCGCTCGCAGTTGGCCTTGGTGGTGAAGGCCGACAGGCAGATGAGACACACGAAGGGGCGCTCGCCTGGAACACAGGGCCCAGTGAGGGGCCGTGACATGGGCTGTGTGTGGAGGGCTCTTCAAGCCTCCCAGGACCCCGGCCCGGGCCCAGCCCCGAGCTGACCATCCAGACAGCCACAGATGGGCTTTGTGCCCTGGGAGCTGTGGGAGGCTGTGTGGTATGGTGGGAGGACCACACAGGCACATCTGTTGCCTGGGTGCAGTGGGCACGCTATCATCAAGCAGGTGGGGGTCCTGGGGGGGCGTGGAGCCTCACCGCTGTGGCTGCGCATGTGGATCTCCAGGGAGCTGGCACTGGGGCAGCTTTTGCGGCACTGGGGAAAGGGGCAGACACGCTCGTTGGGGTATGGCTCCTTGGGCTTCTCGTCAGCGGCGGCCGTGGCAGGGGAGCTGGCACTCTGGCGGCTGGCGCAGTAGTACAGGAGGTGAGCTTGCAGGTTCCGCTCACTGCGGTACCAGATGCCGCAGTCCTTGCAGGGGAAGACATCTTCTGTGGGGCCAAGAGGTGGGTGAAGCCTGAGGGGACATTCCTGAAGCAGAGAGGGGCCGCCTGCAACCCAGGGTGAGGCAGTGGACTCTGCAAAGTGAGGGCTCTGCCCTGGCTGCCTCTGGTGTCTTCTGGCCTCAAACAGTAGGTTTGTGACCTGGCCTTCCCCCTCCCATCACTGCTGCCTTTTCTTACCTGTCCTTTTATAACCCAGAGTGCCCTCTCTATGAATTCCCAGGATGCCCTCTACCCTGCCTTCCAACAGTGAGCCCCTTAAGGAGATGCTGTGGACTCATGGGGTGTTCGCTGGAGGAGCATGGATACACTAGTCAACACCTGCAGGAGTGAGACTGGGGTCCAGGACATGATTGTGTCAGTTATTTGGTGGGGGTGACCATGTGCAGGTGAGGAAGCAAGGGGGCAGTGAGGGAGGCTGTGGACCCCGGTGCTGTGTGTGATGTGAACAGGTGTGTGAGTGGCCAGGTGCACAGGGACCAGGTGCACAAATCCCCAAGCGCTCGGGTACAAGGATGAGAGTTGAACATGGCCCTGGGTGGCTTCTGGGGTGGGGGTGGGCAGGAGGTGAGGCCAGGAGCTGCAAGGAAGAGGAACCCTTTCTGTCCCTCCATCACCCCCCATACATTGGATGGTTCCACGTCAGTTACCAACTGAATGGTCACATTGTTTTTTTTTGGTTTGTTTTTGTTTTTTAAAAATATATCTTTATTGATTTCAGAGAGAGGAAAGGAGAGGAAGAGAGAGAGATAGAAACATCAATGATGAGAGAGTCATTGATCAAGCCCACAACCCGGGCATGTGCCCTGACCAGAAATCGAACCCCGATCGCCTGATTCCTAGGTCAACACTCAACCGCTGAGCCACACCCGGCCAGGCAGTCACATTGTTAAATCCACCAAATTTACCTCAAATAAGCTGCCTCTAATTTTTCAGTTTATAGGGGTTTGGATCACAGGGCTGATTTTTCCAGCAGGTGAAGATTTCTCTGATGGATGCTTCACCAGTTCTCTAGTTCTCAGTGTGTCTTTGTAGCAGAATTTAAAGGAATGTTCTGACTGTCTGCCTCTGCTCTGTGGCCAGTTGCCCCTTGGCTGAAGATGGCCAGAGGAGAGCTTGTTCTGCACCTTGACTTAGAGGTGGGACGAGGGGCCCTGAGGTTCCTTACCATCTGGTTTCTACCTCTGCAGGTTAGGATGTGTTTCTCAGCCTGGCTTCTCCGATGTTTGTCCTGGGTCCATAGTTATCGTACAGGTGCTCCTCCACCCAGGAGACTGCCAGGTTTCCCACTTTTCCTACTTATCTTAAGGAATTTAAGTACCTATTTATCTGGTTAAGGAGGCCACGTACCTGTAGTTTTTCTATCTCTGTTCCCTTCCTACTGTGTTTTCTCTGCTTTTCAAGTTCCCTTTTATTTGGGAGCTCAAGGCAGCTCTGTTCTCTATCAGCTGAGGCCTTGAGCTGGGATGGAGACCTGAGGCCACCAGTGATTTTTAAAAAATGTACTTGCAAGGTCAATGTTCGGGACTGCTGTTGGCCGCAGTGTCAAGAGAAGGGCCAGAGCCTTGGAGGCCCATTTAAGCCCCAACCACAATGACCCACGGCTGACCACAGGTGGGCAGACCAAAGGTGAAGTACTGGGTGGGCACAGCCCAAGTTACCTGCACAGACACCTCAAGGCTAGTATTGCCATTACTCCTACTTCACGGGTGAGAAAACTTCCCAGAGTGGTGGAGTCTTAAGAATTAAACTGGAGCCCTGGCTGGCTCAGTTGGTTAGAGCATTGTCCCGAGGTCACAGGTTCAATCCCAGTCAGGGAACATACAAGAATCAACCAATGAACGGAATTCAATGGGAAACAATGTTCCATAAATAAGTGGAACAACAAATCGATGTCTTTCTTTCTATGCCCCTTCCTCTCTCTCTCTAAAATTGATAATTAAAAAAAATAACAAAAAGAATTAAACTGGGACACAGTAGACAACACTGACCTCAGCAGACAC